ATACTTATTTCTAAAATAAGTTAAAATAGTGATTGTTTATTGACCCATGAATCTATAAAGTTCTTTTAAAACTCTTTCCAATATATCACTCATTATTTTATCATTGTGACATCAAATACACTAAATTTTATTGAACAAATTATAAGAAAAATCAAATAAAAGGTACTGAACATGCAATAATTTATAGAATAGTGTTCAAGTTAAAATGGTAAGGAATAGGAGAAATGACTCAGCAGTTAAGAGCACTTGCTGCTCATGCAGAGTATTCAGCTCCTAACACCCACATTGAAGACTCGTAACTGCCTGTAACTCCAGCTCCAGGGAATCCAGCATCCTCTTGTGGACTCTATGGGCATCTGCACTCTTGTACACACACCCACGTACAGATACATCCACAAACACAAAATTAAAAATAATAAAAATAAATAAAAAACTTTTAAGGAACTTCTTCAATACCCAGTGAGTAGAGAGTTTTGTTTGTTTTGTTTGGGGGTATTGTGTTTGGGTTTTGGTGTTAGTTTTTTGAGACAGGGTCTTCCTGCAGCCCCAGCTGACCTGGAACTCACCATGTAAACCAGGCTGGCCTCAATCTCTTAGAGATCCACCAGTCTCTGCCTCCAAGTGCTGGAATTAAAGGTGGCACCACCACACCCAGCGACAAGCAGAGTTTAAGGAAAAACAATGTTCTCCATATTATGTTCTCCAGACTTTTGGCTATAACAATAACAATAATTTTAACACTTATGTATATCACACACACACACACACACACACACACACACACACAAAACATATTCCAAGCCAGTTTTGTTCTATTTAATTTTAATTTTAGGTTTTTTGGGGGGAGGGATTTTTGTTTGTTTGTTTTCTGGATTTTTAAATTTATTTATTTTTATTTTTATTTTTGAGACAAAGTCTCACCTGTGTAACCCCAGGCTGGCCTCAAACTTGCCATACGGCCTAGGCTGGCCTTTAAAGAGCCTCCTGCATTAGCCTCCCAAGTGCTCAAGCCATTTTCCACTCACGTCACAAATAGTAAAACAGCAGTGAGTACATTTCCCATTTCAGTATAAGTTGAAAACGTTAAACAAGTCCTTAATATGTGTCAAATTACTAAATACAGCTCTCTTACCTCCTGTAAGACATAAGCCTATGATGATCACTATAATAAGACCTAAGAAAATGGAGGCAATGACCATCCACAGTTTACACTTTCCAACCACTGTCTTGTTACAGGAACTCCAGGGACTTTCTTTGGTAGCCTAGAAAGAAAAGGGAGATTGTGGGACAGTCACTTGGTTTCAACCAATATTTCCAATACCTACTAAAGACCAATAGTATGGAACTGAATTCAGCAGGCATCTAACCTCAAGGGGCTTCATGTATATTTACAAAATAGGGGCTGGAGAGTTGGCTCAGTGGTTAAGAGCACTGGCCGCTCCTGTAGAGGATCAGAGTTCCATTTCCAGCACCCACATGGCAGCTCACAACCATCCATAACTCCAGTTCCAGGGCATCCAGCCTCCTTTTCTGGCCATCTCAGGGACAAGGGATGCACGCAGTGTACACACACACACACACACACACACCTGCAAGTAAAGCACACAAAATACCATACACACAAAATTAATAAACCTTTTTAAAAGTACATAGCAGAACAGAATGGAACCTCAAAAAGAAGTTAGCAGGAAGATTCTCTGGGGTTTCTGACCAGAGAAGATGGGAGGCAGGATTTTTATACGTAGTTTTTTAAAATGTATTTATTTTTAATTCACACATTAAAAACTGCATATATTCATGAAGTTCACTGTGATTTTCAGTACCTATGTGTCATGTATACAGATCAATCAGGGTAATTGGCATATCTATCACCTCAAATGCTTATGATTTCTCTGTGTTCAGAACATATAAAATCCTCTCTACTAGTTATTTTAAAATATACGATTAATTGTCAACCACAGTTACTCCACTGTCACAGAACACTGAAGTTATTCCTTCTGACCACTAGCACCCCTGTACCTGTTAACTACTCGCTCTCCATCCCTCCCTGCCCTATACCCTTCCTAAGCTATGGTAACTATTCATTTACTCTCTACTTTCATAAGACCAACTTTTAAAACTTCAACATGTAAGTTAGAACGTGTTCATGTTACATTTGTCTTTGTGTGTGAAAAACAGATTTTGAATGTATTACAAACCCAAGAAACAGCATGTGGTGATTCCTGACAGAACTGGCCAAGGCAATCTGAAGACCGGAATGTGTGTGTCCGAGTCAAGTGATGACATTAAGATTAGAGAGTGAGAGGCTGCAGCACACTGCAGAGGGTTTGTGTGTTAATTTTTTCTTGCTATATATAACAAAATACCCGAGAAAATCAACCAAAGAACCGACTTATTCTGGCTCTGGTTTTGGCTTAGGCTTTAATGGTTTCAGTCTGTGGTTGGTGGACTCCATGGCAGGACAAGCAGTAATGATCATTCATCTCATGGCAGTCAGGAAGCAAAGAGCGAAAGGGCGGCTGGAGCCGGGGCACAATAACTTCCCAATGATGCCACCAGACTATGAATCTGACCACGAATAAACCCATTAATGGAGTCAAAGTCGTCGTGATCCAATTACCTTTCAAAAGTTCCATCTCTGAACTTTGCTGCATTTTGGGAACCAAGCCTTCAACATGTGAACTTTGGGTGACTGTTCAACCACTAACAGTTTGGTGGCTGTCAGAGTTGGATTTAATTTGGTGTGTACTGGCGACCTGTTGAAGGCTTCAGGATGCAAGAATGGAGTTGAAAATTAAAAGAAAAATGATGCAAAGTATGAACTGAATACATCAAGAAAAAGCAGAAGTCTACTGTCACGGCCCAGATCCCACATAAAACAAGGTCTGGGAAGGGAATGACGGTCCACACACAAGGGACAGAAGACAATAAGCCGTAATGTGCTCAGCGAGGTAAAATATGGGGTCAAAAATTGATTACAATTGCTATAGTTCACTGAGCAGTGTCACTTCACTCAATCCTAACAAGACTCCAAGGCATGTGTTAACCAACGTTAAACACACTGTCCAGAGAAATTAATTAGGACTAATCCCTGTGGCTGTCATTGCAAAGCTGACAGGCTCTTCCTGTTGCATACAGTCCACTGACATCACGGTGTGGATCTCTGGGTCAGGAATGTGCCCGGCTGCCCTGGAAGAACGCCACTTAGTGCCTCCATCTGCTCTGAAATAGTTCCCAAGCTCTTCTACTTCTCTCGGGGCTGTTAGGTAATTCCTACATCAAGATCATGGAGAGTGGTGGAGTCTGACGGAAAAAAAAAAGATGTGTTTCTGAATCTGACGCCCCTGAGTTCCAATCTGAGGCATATTACTTAAAGGCATAGGATGCTGAGCAAACTGCTGAAACTTGTAGGCCCCAAATGTCTTCAGCTTTAAAGTACAGATGTTTCTCAATTGGCAACTGAGTTATGTACTACTAAACACAGCAAAAACTGAAAATGTGTTAAAGTTGGGCCTGGTGGCACAGGTGTAAGGCACAAGGTTCAATCTCCATGTACGACATCTACCTTGGCAAGCATCACAACTTAGCAACACAGTATGCCAGAGTACCACTTGTGTACCCTTGTGATTGGTGTTTAACTGGGAAACAGGGCTTTCAAAATCAACATCATATCACACATTAGAGCATCATATTCACGCATTACCAGCCAAGGGAAGGGTCACACTGGAATCTGAAGTACAGTTTCTAGTGAATAAGTATTACTTTCACACCATCATTACCATGTCGAAAAAGGTTAACAGAATTATGGAAAGTGAGGGACTATCCATCTAAATACTAAATCTAGCTGCATATCTGTTTCAGAAACTAGAGATGATATACACAAAGCATCTGTTTAGCAACTATAGGGTGCTCAAACCAGGGGAGCAACTGCACCTCAGTCAATATGCAAAGTACCTACCTGACCCACAAGTGTCATATGTTGGGTCCTGAACAGACACTTGTTTTTACTCTCCTGTCTTTATTATGGTGGTGGCCATCACAAAAGAAAACTACTGAATATGTTAGGACTACATTTCACATTTCCTCAGTTACAGGTTCTTGTCACAATCACCTGCAGACGATTTTAAGTGCCACAGAGCCTGGCTCCATATGCATCTAGAAGACCGACTTGTTGGAGAAGTGGGAACAAGGTCTGGCTTTTAAGCCCCCCAAAGTGAAATAAGTGCTTTGCCTAGTCTAATGTCTTGTCTACGCAAGAAGCCAAGTCAAACTTCCCTTCCTGCCTCCCCTCAGTGCAACCTCTCAGTGAGTGAACTGTCCCCAGAGCTTACCTGCTGCTGCATTGACTGTCCTATCTAGTTTCAAGTTCAAATATAGGTGGAGAATGGA